CTCGTGTTTTTGTACATAAGTTGCGCGATCATTTTTCTCCTTATGTTTATCGTGGTACTTCGTTTGATGATTTCCTTAAAAACTGATGTATGATTTTTTTCTATAAGGTTTGGAATTATTTTCATTCAGTAGGTCTGTGAGGAATACTCAAACCTTGGGCCTCGTTTCAGTGTTTCCTTAAAATTTTACAAGAAAAAAAGCATGAATTATAATGTATATATTTTGATAAATATTAATATCACCCATTCATATTTATCAAAATATATCACACATTTTTTACCCTACACAATTATGTTGTCAGGGTATTATAGCTTTGTGCAGCCCAAAAGTTTGTAACGCTGCGAAATATTGGTCCTAGATCCACATTTAAGTTTACCGATCGTCATATCTCGACTAGCTGAGTCGATCTAGACATGTGTGCCCGTCTGTCCATTATAATTTGTAAACACGATACAGTTATGGACCAATCTTCACGAAATTGTTTTTGGTAAAGATTGGTTAATATTTAGGGGATAAAATGGGCCAAAAATTCTATTTTTGTCTAATTTTCTGGTCGCTCCAGAGGCCGCAATTATGGTAGTGCTGTAACGACCAAAAGTCGTTAATACTTGTTTTTGGTCACATCAACATTTAATTTCCTATCACGAAAATGAAATTTTGTTGTATTATTATTTTATTTAAAATGTATGAATAAAATGAAATTATTTAAGTTAAATTAAAAAAGAATGTAATTTAAGTTCAATATAATGTAAACGTGTATTAATTAATTTAATTTTAACGGTCAGTAATTGGAACCCCTGGCGGCAACGGGCCACACTAAAAATGATTACTGCGATGAAAAGTAAATACGACGGCATGGTAGTGTTCAGCCCGCCACTAACAAGTATAAAAGGAGAAGCGTTGGTGATAATCGGGGCAGTCGTCTGTTGAAGATTGCTGAGTCAAGTGGGGTTGAAAAACGAGCCCTTGGCTGTGGAAGTAGTAAGAGTAGTTTACTGTCTAGTCGAGTGGGGTTTAAAAACGTGGCCTCGGTTACCAGTGGCAATAGCCGCGTAGTAGTCACTGTCTGATCGAGTGGGGTTGAAAAACGTGCCCTCGGTTACCGGTGACAATCGCCGAGTAGTAGTCACTGTCTGATCGAGTGGGGTTGAAAAACGTGCCCTCGGTTACCAGTGGCAATAGCCGCGTAGTAGTCACTGTCTGATCGAGTGGGGTTGAAAAACGTGCCTTGGGTTACCGGTGGAAATAGCCGCGTAGTAGTCACGGTCTTGCCGAGTGGGGTTGAAAAACATGCCCTCGGTTCCCAGTGGACGTAAGATAGCAGAAAACGATGTAATGTACTCCACTATCTTAGAAAGAGCTGGTAAAATAGAAATCGGACAGAGATCTTCGGAATCACAAACAGAACGACATTTCGGAATGGGAACCACACGAGCCGTCTTCCAACCATCTGGAAATTCCGATGTTGCTAAAATGCAGTTTACTAGATCAATGATCACATCAGATATATAGAGGAAAACTATTTTTGGAAATTTTATTGATATTCCATCAACACCAATAGACTTAGATTTTACTTTAAGCAAGGCTTCAACAAAAAATCGTACTTATTACTAGTTTTTACCCATTTTTCCCACAATATGTCATTTTAGAAGGATGTTATAAGGAACAAACATATTCTCCATCAATTTTTAGCATTAGCATTATATTGTGCAAAAAACTCGTAGTGAAGATTTTCAATAAGATCGATCTTTCCCGAAGGTAGATATACAACACCAAGAATAAGTTTTGTTCCGTAGAGTTATAATTCTATAAACAAAGTCTCACAGTCAGGAACAGAAGTTTTTAAAATACATTTATATTGAAAACGCTTAAATGCAACTCCACCACCTCTACCTGAAATTTGACGATCACATCGGCAAAGGTTATAGCCTGGGAAAGATACCGCAGAATCCAGTAGATCACTTGAAAGCCATGTCTCCGAAAAAGCCAACAAATCAAATGTATTTTCCCCCAAGATATACCTTAATTCATCAATCTTAACAGTGGTTTTAATGCTTCTCCAATTTAGATGTGCCACATTAAAATTATTTCTGTATGGGAGCAGTAGTCTATTTAGTTTAGAGTTACTACTTACTATTGTCGCGAAGTTCAGCACAATTGAGAATATCACATATGGTGCTAAGCAAACATCTACTCGAATATTTTGTAAATTGCATCCGCTTCCTTTCAATATATTCTTTAGGTAACGGCTTGCAACACTGGCACCGGTGTCGAAAACTGCTTCTCCCAATATTCCAAATAGTTTTACGTGCACGGCCACGGCCAAACACACTTGTGGCGATCGAGTTGAAAGAAAGTGGCTGAGGGCTGTTTCTATTGTTGTTGCTGCAGGTAGTGCAATTTGACCTGAAAACGAAACATAATACAAATAGGGAGCCCTATAAGTTACCCAAATTTGGTATGACAATAAATAGCGAAAGCTGGGAAGCCGAGTCATACGCTTCCAAAGAACTATAGACTAATTAGCCTTCAATCCTTTCTAAAGAAAGGTTACGGTACTCCAAAATTAGGAACATTATCAACCCAAACAAAATTGATAATGTTCTGATTATAGGGTGGCAAGGGGTCAATAAGTATACACTGCTGACCAAAATAAGTAGTGTACAACGATCGGCTTCGATCCCGATTGCTGGAGCGCTAATAAGCACACCATAGGCAGCCCTGAATACAATCCTGCATCTCCAACCACTAGACATTCTGGTTAAATTAAATGTGCCCTGAGGCTCCGGGAAACGGACGCCTGGAAGTCGCTGAACTAATTCAAATGTAGGTTTAAAACTCTTCCTTCCATAGTTTCTAACTTAGTATTTATTAAACAATCAGAAAGATCACCTGCAGGAGTATTTCCTAATTTAAGGCAAATTTTCACAAGGCTGTCGGTTTCGTATTCGAACGTAACACAAGTTGTGCTATTCATAATTAATTATTAACTAATGTATTTATTACATTATTTAAAACAAGTTATGTATTGCAAGTTAATACCAAATTTGGGTAACTTATAGTGTTCCCTATGTGTACTATGTTTCGTGTTACGAGCTTTATTATAAGATTTCCTAGCAGTCTTTGTCAAGGATGCTCAGCCATACCGGCTGAGATTTTCTCCCAGGGTATGTCAAACGGCAGGAAGCCTTATAGCTCCTCAGAAGAGTCCCTGTGACATCGTTCACTGCTTTCTCAGCATACTCAGTCGTTCCGTGGGCTATGCGGTCAGGGTTTGTGAATGCTGTTTTATCTTTGAATTTATCCCAGTTTGTCTTCCAAGGGTTCCTATAAGGTTTCTGCTTTTCCTAGAGGTATGAATTTGTGATGGTTGTGTCAATGACTTCGCCTCTCACTCTTTTTACGAAAGTATCTGTATTGCCCCTATTACATATCCTAAGATTATATCTATTATACTCACCTCTTGGATTGGTTTCACTGTGATGGGCATTAGCATCACATCCAATGACTAGATCGCCAATGCTATTCTCGAGTTACCCTATCTAGTCTGACTGACACTGTTGCTGAAATTTGAAAGAAGCCCGCGGAGGCCGTCAAAACCGTGTAGATTTTGTCGCTCAAGCCAGTCACCTTATCTTTGTAGAGATATGTATATAATCCACTGACAAATTGACACTTGATATCGAGTGGATTTAGTAGCCTAAACGTGCTCTTGAATAGTCGGTGTTTAAGGAGGAGAGAGCGAGGAGCAATTCAGCAGTTGCTGTCTGCAGTTTCCCCATCCCTTTAAACAGCTCATGCTTGTTCCTGCTTAGGTACTGCTCACCAACAGAGTCGGCGGCGAACTGCTGTTTCTTTCACTTCCTCATCTGTTTTTCCACCAACCTCAGTGAATTCTCCAGTCCCTTAAAAGGTGGTGGGATCCGCACTAAGTTAACCGCCAACTTTCAGATAGCTGTCGATCAGCAACCATTTATCATCACTGAAAATCCCGTTTATGGCGATCCGTGATTGCTATTCGCAGATCCTCCGGTACTTCTGGTAGAGCAGCAGGGTCGCTAGGCGCCGGTGCAGGTTTCTGGGCTTCCTGGATTGGTACTCCAAAATTAGGAACATTATCAACCCAAACAAAATTGATAATGTTCTGATTATAGGGTGGCAACGGGTCAATAAGTATACACTGCTGACCAAAATAAGTAGTGTACAACGATCGGCTTCGATCCCGATTGCTGGAGCGCTAATAAGCACACCATAGGCAACCCTGAATACAATCCTGCATCTCCAACCACTTGACATTCTGGTTAAATTAAATGTGCCCTGAGGCTCCGGGAAACGGATGCCTGGAAGTCGCTGAACTAATTCAAATGTATGTTTAAAACTCTTCCTTCCATAGTTTCTAACTTAGTATTTATTAAACAATCAGAAAGATCACCTGTAGGAGTATTTCCTAATTTAAGGCACATTTTCATAAGGCTGTCGGTTTCGTATTCGAACGTAACACAAGTTGTGGTATTCATAATTAATTATTAACTAATGTATTTATTACATTATTTAAAACAAGTTATGTATTGCAAGTTAATACCAAATTTGGTAACTTATAGTGTTCCCTATGTGTACTATGTTTCGTGTTACGAGCTTTATTATAAGATTTCCTAGCAGTCTTTGTCAAGGATGCTCAGCCATACCGGCTGAGATTTTCTCCCAGGGTATGTCAAAGGGGAAGAAGCCTTATAGCTCCTCAGAAGAGTCCCTGTGACATCGTTCACTGCTTTCTCAGCATACTCAGTCGTTCCGTGGGCTATGCGGTCAGGGTTTGTGAATGCTGTTTTATCTTTGAATTTATCCCAGTTTGTTTTCCAAGGGTTCCTATAAGGTTTCTGCTTTTCTCTAGAGGTATGAATTTGTGATGGTTGTGTGAATGACTTCGCCTCTCACTCTTTTTACGAAAGTATCTGTATTGTCCCTATTACATATCCTAAGATTATATCTATTATACTCACCTCTTGGATTGGTTTCACTGTGATGGGCATTAGCATCACATCCAATGACTAGGTCGCCAATGCTATTCGTAGCCTCCAGAAGGTTTTGTACATCCGGTTCAGGTGGGTCAGGGCCTCCTATGGGAGATAGACGGCATAGACTATTAGGGGTCTCGAGTTACCCTATCTAGTCTGACTGACACTGTTGCTGAAATTTGAAAGAAGCCCGCGGAGGCCGTCAAAACCGTGTAGATTTTGTCGCTCAAGCCAGTCACCTTATCTTTGTAGAGATATGTATATAATCCACTGACAAATTGACACTTGATATCGAGTGGATTTAGTAGCCTAAACGTGCTCTTGAATAGTCGGTGTTTAAGGAGGAGAGAGCGAGGAGCAATTCAGCAGTTGCTGTCTGCAGTTTCCCCATCTCGTTAAACAGCTCATGCTTGTTCCTGCTTAGGTACTGCTCACCAACAGAGTCGGCGGCGAACCGCTGTTTCTTTCACTTCCTCATCTGTTACTTTGAACTGTTGTATGCTATTAAGCAGATCTTCAAATTCGTTCAATTGATTTTCGACATCATTATAATCCTCCTGTAAATCATCATTGGTAATATCTGGTATTAAATCTATAAAATATTTTGTTAATATATTGTTACTACATAATATGATCACTTTGTTTTAACTTACTATGAGAGCCCTTGCTGGGGGTCAAAACATTAGACCATATATTATTTTTTAACATCTCAATGACTTCGTTGTAGCCATTATATGCGCCGTCCCCGCTATTCTCATCATCATACAAATCGATTATGGCAAAATGTGACAATGCACACTTTGTTCTCACCAGCGAGTTAGCTCCAGTTTGGGAAAAATTTTTAGTTAATAGGTAGGAGAAACCAATGTTATTCTTCTTCACAAATATATCTAAGTCATCGATTTTGGATGCGAATGACACCTATAAAGATATATATATATATATTATTTATGCTTAATACATTTATTCCAAGACAGATTTTATAAGGTTACCGCGTCAGCAATCGATTACAACAAACAAATTTTGTAGTTGAATGGCCTGTCAAAAATGTCTCACAAAAACAAAGATTCTTGCAAAATTTTATTCAGAAATATTATTAAATGGATTGTAGAACAAAATCTTCTAAATCAAATATTTTTGACATTTTATAATACCTACAGCTGTGCTGATGTGGCTACCTTTTTGCCTTGATTTATTCTCTAAACTGCATTTACATTAGAACTACAACACGGTTTACCTCCTCTATGAGTATCTATTTTCAGGGTTTAAAATGCTAACGCCAAAATAGCAAAAACACAGAAAATTGCCGCTTTGCTAGCTAAATTCATACTCAAAATACGCAGCACAGCCAAGCACAACTGCAACAAATAACAAGACATTACAAAAAATTTTAGCCAGCAAAACTAAAGCTTCTTGATTTTGTCAGCAGCTACAAAATAGCAATGAACAACTACAACATAATTGTCAAAGCGACCAACAACCAAAAATTTTTAGTTAATAGGCAGGAGAAACCAATGTTATTCTTCTTCACAAATGTATCTAAGTCATCGATTTTGGATGCGAATGATACATATAAAGATATATAGATTTGGAATATATAATATATATATATATATATATTATTTATGCTTAATACATTTATTCCAAGATAGATTTTATAAGGTTACCGCGTCAGCAATCGATTACAACAAACAAATTTTGTAGTTCAATGGTCTGTCAAAAATATTTCACAAAAACAAAGATTCTTGCAAAATTTTATTCATAAATATTAATAAATGGATTGTAGAACAAAATCTTCTAAATCCAGTATTTTTGACATTTTATAATACGTACAGCTGTGCTGATGCGGCTACCTTATTGCCTTGATTTATTCTCTAATGCCATGTACAGACGAGCGTTGTTCGCTCTCTCATTCGTTGTTCGACCCTTAATTATGAAGTAATTACTTAGTTCCCCATACAAAATTGTCTGAGCGGACACCGACTTTTGTACGTTGTTCAATTCGAATCACTCTCTGAATAACCAAGAAATTTGTCCCATCCCTAACAATTAAGAGTATTTATCGAAAATAAATTAATTTTGACAGCATGTAAATATTTATAAAATTTCTCTTGTTTGGATTTAGTTCGGCTCAAGGTTAAATAAAATGTTGTATTATGATTTCTGATTTTTTATTTTTATTTTCCAATATTTCGACTGTCTTCGACAGTCATCTTCAGGGAAATAGTTTTGAGAGAAGCTACAGGTTTGTTACACCGTCTATGCTAGTTTAAAATAAAAATAAAAAATCAGAAATCATAATACAGCATTTTATTTAACCTTGAGCCGAACTAAATCCAAACAAGAAAAATAATACATCACAGGTTAACAAAAACAACAAACAATATTTATAAATTTTTTAAACTATTTCAGTAAAATTGAAAATGATGAATGAAAAGTGAAAAATTGTATACTTTTTATATATGCAGCAGGATGTAAATTTTGTTTTCTACATAATGCAATTTGCATTTCTTTTCCCTTGGTTCTAATTAGCGTACAAAACAAGAAACAAATGGGGGCAACACAAACAAAAATTCTCCAAATTTTTATATGTGACATTATGTGACATTTGAATTGAGAAAATATAAAAATGTATTAAAAACAACAAAATTTTCAGAAAACATGGATGAAAAGTAAATAGATATGGGTTCATACTATAGTCAGGAGAAAGAGAATTATTTTTTTCTATTTAGATCCATATGCAATTCCCTAAAATATTGTTACGAATATAAATTTAGATTTAAGTTACTTTAGATGAATTCCGTTAATTTAAGAATTTGAATTGTAACGTAAATTTCTACTACGCAGTTTATTTGAATAACTTCACAACAACAACTACTGTATAGATTTTTCTACATCCTTCCATTTCCTCTTTCATTGTCTATTTTTTTGTTGACGTACAATTCTTGTTAAACGTCATCATTGATGATCGCTTAATTCCTCTTTCTTTGTTACCCCCTCACCTGTATATGTGTTGTTGTTATTGTTTACTCAATGTAAGTTTGTATGTGTTGTTGTTATTGTTTACTCAATGTAAGTTTGTATGTGTGTTTGTTGCATTGGTAGATTGTTCGTGATCTAGGTGTTACCAGATCGTCTAGAAACTTCTGTAGCTACAAGCAAGGCTCATATAAATAGGGGAAATGGAAAGGCAGTGAGTCAGTTGTGAATCAGATCGCGAATTGAAACCGTCGAGTAAAGTAAAGCGCAAAGTAAAGTTGTGTGAATAAAATCATTGTAATAATCGTAATCAGAAAGAACCCGCGTTTTATTTGGTACGAATTGTATCGGGAAATAAAACAACGACTACACGGGATTAACTAAAATCCAAGAACGTAACAATTGGTGTCAGAAGTGGGATTACGATAATACTACGATGAAGTTTAAGGATCTACGAGTGGAAGACTTGAAGAAGGAGCTGAATAAATTGGAATTGTCCTCTACTGGCAACAAGGCTGAACTACAAAAACGTCTGTTGGATGAGTTCGAGCGCCGGGGTATGAACATCGATACATATGAGTTTGACAGTAAGGATGAAGTGGATTTATCGGAAATGGGCGAATCCAACGGTGGGGAAGTCTCGTCAGTAGCTGTCAGGGGTGACGATTTCAGAGAAATGCTGGCTAAAATGTTCGAAGAGAATTCCAGAAACACGAGACGAATGTTCGAAGAGAATTCCAGAAAGTCAGAAGAAAACTCGAGACGAATGTTCGAAGAGAATTCCAGAAAGTTAGATGAACTCAAGGCAGAGAATTGTAGAATGAACGAGAAACTCGAGAACATTACAGAAGTTATTGGAAGGAGAGTGGAAACCGTGGAGGTCCAAATTAAAGAGTTGGATAAGAAAGTGCAGTCGGTTGACGAGAAGATTCTGTCTGTGGATGAGAAATTTCTGGCCCACGACCACAGGTTTACGAATCTGGAGAAGAAAATGTCGGAATTGGAAATTAAAGGTGGTCCGGTGCGAGTTCCTGATAACACACTAAAAATCAAACCTCCTGTATTCGACGGCACTACGTCATTTAATGTTTTCAAGTTACAGTTCGAGACAGTGGCTTCTAGAAATTCGTGGAACGACAGCGACAAAGCGGTTGCACTACTTCTGGCATTGAAGGGCAGTGCTGCTGATGTTATACAGAGTATTCCTGTCGCTTCTAGGAATAACTATGAAGATGTTATTGCTGCACTGGAACGTAAGTACGGTGGCGAACATAAACAAAACATATACCTTATGGAATTAAGGGGAAGAGTACAGAGGGCAAACGAGACGTTACAAGACTTTGCAGCTGAGGTGGAACGTTTGGTGCTAATGGCGTATCCAGGAGAGAATCACCCATTGGTGGACCGTATGAAAATCGAAACCTTTGTGAATGGCATACGAGACCCTGAGATTAAGTGTGCAATATATGCGTCACCAAAAGCGTCATTTGCCGAAACTGTGTCGTTTGCCCTTGCCCAAGAGACGGCAAGGATAATTGTTAAGCCCCAGACCCACAAGATTCGTCAACTGGAGACCGAATGTTGCGAACCCAAAGCTCTCGTTAACTCGATCAAGGACGCCATGAGGCAGGTAATAGAAGAAAAAGTCAGTAAGGATGACTAAGCGCAGGATTAGATGCTTCAACTGCGATAAAGCAGGTCATATTGCGCGTGAATGCAGATCTAAGCGCAAACGATCCAGGTCATCGTCACCACCTCCAACGAAAGATGGTAGAAGAATGGCTCAACAGTCCACCAATGAGTCACCGTTAAACTAAATCGAGCCAGTCCAGCGGGGCATGAACTGGCTTCCATCGACGATGGCCCCACAATCTCCATAGCAATAGTACAACAGAAAAGTCACAACCTAACAACAACTGGGTACATCAATGGTGATAAGCGAGTTCTGACGTTAGATACAGGCGCATCAAAGTCCATCATAAGATCAGATCTGGTAAAGGGAAAAATAACGCAAATTAATGGAGTCAGACTGCGCACAGCAACGGGGGAGCCCGCGGCAGTACACGGCAAGATTACCCTAAGACTGACTATTGCCAATAAATCGGTGAATTACGAGTTTATAGTTGCCGATATCGTAGACGAAGTGATAATAGGCGCAGATTTTATGATTACCTTCGGTATCAATCTGGATATGAAAGAGCGTGTGATGACCTGGTCTAACGTTGAAATTCCGTTAAACGTGGGCTACGATGAAAGTACACCCATTAGACGTCTGACTACGGACCATCCAGAGATAATACCGCCCTGTGCCGAAGCAATAATATGGGTACCAATGAATGGAGATTGTGGAGCCGAGAAGTTGTGGGTGGTGGAACCAGCAGAAAACATAAACAGTAACATCCTAATAGCGAATGCCCTGGTGAAAAGCAACAAGGACGGATTGATTCCTGTTAGAGTTTTGAACCTGTCAAACAAGCAAGAGCAAATTTGCCAATTTTCCGATGTTGGACAATGCACACCAGCTGAAGCTGTAATAAATTTGGAAACTAGCACCGAAAAGCCAGCAGCCATGGAGAAGAAGCACCTCGACGGCTACATAAAAGAGTGGACACACCAATTATCACCTTCCGAGAGGAACAAGGCTAAGCAGCTATTATGGAAATATGCCTCTACCTTTGCGTTGACAAAAGAGCACCAGGGAAGAACATCAGTGGTGAAGCATGAAATCCATACAGCAGACGCGAGACCCATTAAACAGCCTCCAAGAAGTGTTCCCCTGGCGAAAAGAGACGAGGTCCAGAAGCTGATAAGTGAAATGGAAAAGAGTGGTGTAATAGAACCATCGTCAAGTCCATGGTGCTCCCCAGTGGTCTTGGTCAAGAAGAAAGACGGAAGCACCCGATTTTGTGTGGACTACCGAAAGTTGAATGATGTCACTAAGA